TGGAAGAGAGAGGAGGGGGTGGGGGGGGGGGGGGGGCATAGGACCAAAACTATGATTAAATTAACAAATTAAAGCACAACTTTATAAACAAAAAAAAAAGTCTGACTAACAAAAAAGGTCAGCACTTTCTATCAACTCTTGTGCTAAATGATATGTTGTATCTATGAAATGTATCTAAATATATGAGTTGTTAACTACATTGGAAGGGAAGATTCCAATTCCATGGATACTGCAGTTTCTTCAAGTTCTACTGTTATCAAGCCATTGAGAAGTAGAGGATCTTGTTCATCAATATTATTCACCTTCCTGTTCCACACATGACAAAAGAGTATAATTCAGTAATAGACAGCGTAAACAAATATAAAACAGATATCAAGAGAAAAAAATTTGACACAATTGAGCTTAAATGAAGCAGTGAGGATTCGTACAAGTAAACCACAACTTGTTTGGGACTAAGGCGTTATTGTTGTTTTGACAAAAGAAGAAGTTATTTATGCTTCACAAACAAAACAAAAAAAGTCAGTTATGGGATGCTGCAGTTCTTCGTCTAACTTTAGAAAAATGCAGTAGAAAATTTGATGTCTCATAGGGACTTACCAGTGAATTGCAACCCTCAAGACTCAAAAGAGATGCTGTGAAGTGCCATAGCGGAATTTTTAACTTTCAGTGTAATTACAAATCAAGACAGGGTGGAGTTGAAGGGGAGTCTTAGCATTACAAGTAAAGTTGTTGCCTTGTCACAGGTTCAAGCTGTGGAAACACCCTTTTGCAGAAATGTAGGGTAAGGCTGCGTAAAATAGATCCTTGTGATACGGTCCTTCCCCGGACCCGTGTAAAGAGGGAGCTTAGTGCACCGGGCTGCCCTTCTTTTTTAAGACAGGGTGGTGTTATCAGAGATACTAAGGGAACAGTTTCACCATATGGAAGTTCCAGGATTTGGTGGTGATTCAGATATTTAACAATCCTCTCATTTCATGAATAATAATTAATGTAATCGCCAGTTAATACTACAATAATAATTGGGTTGACAGTCAAAATTTTAAAGAAGCTACTGGGTTCACGTGAACACGTAAGCTGGCCTCTAGATCCACCCCTGGATAGAGGTAGCCACAACCCTTTAGGCAACCTTTTCCAGCTAATAAGCTAATGAATAAATTATCCGTAAGGCTAACAAAGAAAAAGTTCCACCCTACTAAATCCCAAGATAAGACAATAACAACCTACTCGCCCACCAACAAGTCTTTCCAAAGGAAAAGAACGGTTTTATGTCAGTATGAGAGATGCCTATATGTTTATTACTGAAGTGCTGCTCATTTATGAGAATGTATTAAATTATCTACGCTCTCGGGTGTTTCTATAGTATGATAGGCAACACTTTCAGAGTCCAAAGCTATCTAATAAATATTTGGGAGGAAAATAGAGTGTTGTAGGACCCGCAAAAAGGGAAAATCAAGGGGGTGAAATGAAGCAAAAATATGTGAATACAAGAGAGGATATGAATGATCTGAAAGTAAGACAAGTCATACTTTCAAATATATTGAACTAACTGAAAGAAGCATGATTTTCAGTTCATTGGCCAGAGATGAGTTGAGAGCACCTACCCGCACGTCTTCTTATTGTGGCCTAGGCCCTTACACTTGCTGCACTGCATCTGACGTTTGACTATGTCAAAAGTGTCTGCCTTTTTCATCTTTGGTCGACCAGGTGGACGTTTTGTTGGTGGAGGTGTAACAACTATGACCATATGCTCCATATCTGGTTCACCTTTAATTGGTTTTTCCAGATGAGGTATGGGGTTAATTGATTCAGCATATGTTGCATGGTAACTCTCAGTTGAGAAGTATCGGGAGCAAAGATCATAGGGGCTCCTTCCTAGGTATTCAGAAACAGCAATAGTATGGCAACAAGGCAATCCATTAAGCTGCCACTCTTTGCAACTACAATCCCATTGATCAATATCAACTACTTCGACAGATTCACCACGAACTTCAAAAGTGCTGCCATGTGAGGGTAATGGATGAAGTGACCTCGCTTTTGATGCATCAATTTGAAGTTTCTGTTCCATCAAAGGTGTCAATGTAGTAACCCACTGACTGGATTCAACACGCCTAGCATAAATCAATTCCATTACTTTACCTCGTAACCCATCGACCATTTGAGTTATTGGCAGCTCATTCAACTCCGCTACCCAATCATGGAAAAGCTTCCCAAAGTTGGACATCAAGTGGCCATACCTTGCCCCACCAAAAAAGGCATTTGCCCAGTGTTCAGGCTCACTTCTAGAGACCCAATTGTAAACTTCAGGTGAGATAGCTTTTATATTCTCAACACAGCGCTCAAATGACTCAAGCTTTGGGGCAAAAGCAGCAGCACATAAATCTTGGATCATAAGGCGTCTGGCTTCATGTGAAAACTGCCCTTTTAAATCATTATTTAGTTTCTCTGCAAGATAATGCAGACAATAGCCGTGGTAGCACTCTTCACCAAAGACATTTTGCAAAGACTCTCTTATCCCTCTTTGGAAATCAGAAACAAAAGTTATTGGACAGGACGTTGCGACAGCAGATTTTAGTTCTGAAAGAAACCACTGCCAGTTGTCATTGGTCTCCTCATCTACAACTGCAAAGGCTACTGGGAAAACGCCATCATTCCCATCTATACCTATGGCAGCCAAAAGAGTACCTTGATACTTCGCATAGAGAAGAGTGCTGTCCAGGAAAAGAAGAGGCCGGCAACCTTGTTGGAAACCAGATATTGAGGCATGAAATGCAATAAACAAGCGATGGAAACTTGAGTCCTCCTTAGTGGCAATTGTAGCAACACTACCAGGATTAGTTTCTCTAATTTTCTCACAGAATAAAGGTAACTGACTGTACGCCTCTTTGAATGAACCTTGAAGCTGCTCTCGTGCCTTCTCTTTTGCACGTCTTGCCTGAGAATAGTTCAACTGAATGCCATATTCACGCTCAATATCTTTTGCTATATCCTTGGGCTTGTAGTTTGGAGCAACCTTCAACTTTTCCTTTATAATACTTCCCATCCATCCCCTTGTTGACCGGTATGCAGCTTTAACAGCAGCTCCGTCACATGTATGCTTTGCATTCATTTTCTTGATACATATTAGCTGAGTGGTAGGCAACCTTGATGCATATATGCACCAAGAACATCCTTCAACCTTGCATTTAGCAGTTACCCTGCGACTATCATTTTTCTTATACCTATAAGTGAATCCATGGGCAATTGAGTATTTATGCAGAGCTTCACGGAATTCAGCAAAACTACTGAACCTTTGACCCACGTCCGTTATTGTGTTCTCCCATTGCGTAGCTGCTCTGCGTTGCTTCTCATTATTCTCATCATTGCTTCCTGGATACGTACACAGGGGAGTAGTATCAATGGAAGCATCAACACCAAGCAGATCATCACAATGAATCATATCCACAGGGGTAGCAGGAGTAAGAGCTGCCTCTGACGCAGTTGTTGACCTGCATAGCAAGCAAGTAATTAACATTTAAGAATCCAATAAGAGATAGCATATCTTTCAAACTCATTCACATCTAGAAGAATCAGTATGATAAAGCACTTGGAGCAAATTGTGTAGGAAACACTACCAAAAGAGCTAATAGAAACTTGTCAGGCTAAGATACAAACAATCATTAAGGTCCATGCCATCTAAGTGCAAGCTAAGTGTGTTCAAACTTCCTCTGTTAGAAAATTACACCATAAAAATAGGGTAAAAACAAACTTCTTGGTATATATGTGAATTGTTGTATCCCTTGATAGTTAATTATATATTAACTCAGTGTGCAAGTTGGGCTCTTTATATATCCCCTTGTTAAAATTTCTGGCTCCGCCACTGCGTACAACAACTATTACACCTAAATCCCAAGTTGAGCCGGCCAACTATATCAATTCTCAACATACGTAGCAGTTCACTTAGACCTGTTTGTCCATGTCATGTGAGTGAAACAATAAAATAAACAAACTATCATGTGAGTGAAACAACAAATAAACAAACTAAACTAAAATTGAAGAAAAGTAAGTACCTACTAGCAGAGACATTGGGTACATTTTTCACAACAGCTTCATCATAAATTATGAAGATCTCAACTTGGTCAGAATCCTTGATAAAATTCATCATACGCTTGAGGTCCTTATCTTTAGAAATAGTGATGAGAGTTTTCTTATTCCCAGGAAGAAAATATTTTACAGTCATTCCTTCAATGCCACGCTGAAAGTTCTCTGCTACTTCTTTCTTAAATTCAGCCAAAATTGTCTGGTCATTGATGTCCAAAGCATAAGCCTCTCCACCTATATATGTCAAAAAACCATCCTCATTGTTTGTCACAAACTCTCCTCCAGATTGACATATTGCAATTATCTTCTTGGAAGCCATCACAAGGACATAAAATCCTCAACCAATTCAAAAACTGCAAAAGAGGGAAAGAAAAAAAAAAAAAGGAAGACTTTAATTACAACAAACAAAATTGGTGTTGTCTATGTGAAATCATTTTTAACAAAAGTTTAAATGGACCGTGAAAATTAACCTACATTCCCAATTCAATTCAACACAACAACATACCAATGTAATCCCACAAGTGGGGTCTAGGGAGCATGGAGTATACGCAGACCTTACCCCTATCTTGTAGAGATATAGAGGTTGTTTCCAATAGACCCTTGGTTTAAAATACGCATTTTCAAGTAGTTTGAAAAAGAGAATATAGAACTAAGAGGGTAAGTGAAGTATAAGCAGCATGATTCAACCTACATTCCCAATTCAATTAAAAAAAAGCTCAAATCTTTACTACATGCATAATTAAACAATGAAAACTTTTAAAGCTAGCAACAAGAAGAGAAAAAACAAGAGATTTAAAACAACAAAAGAAATAGCGTTGACTGTATGAATCATCCATAAGACTGTAACATTAAGTTCAAACGGACCATTAAAAATCAACCTACATTCTCAATTCAATAAAAAAGCTCAAATCTTTACCGCAGTTATAAAGCTAGGAACAAGAAAAAGACAAATACAGTTAAAACAAATGTATGAATCATCTAAGACTGTAACAATAAGATCAAATGGGCCATGAAAAATCAACCTACATCCTCAATTCAATAAAAAAGCTCAAATCTTTACCACAGTTATAAAGCTAGCGACAAGAACAAGAAAAACACAGTTAAAACAAAAAGTTTTAACAATAAGAATCATCTTTAACAATAAGTTAAAATACAACAACAAGGCAACCAATGTAATCCGACAAGTGAGGTGTGGGGAGGATAGCGCACATGCACACCTTACCCCTACCTCATAAAGGTAGAGAAGCTATTTCCGAAACACCCTATGCTCAAGTGCATCAAATCAAAATAATTATGTACAAGTAAATACACCAATGAAGAAACAATAAGTTCAAATACAAGAACAACAACAACAACAAGGTAACCAATGTAATCCGACAAGTGAGGTGTGGGGAGAATAGCGCATACGCAGACCTTATCCTACCTCGTAAAGGTAGAGATGCTATTTCTAAGGACCATCGGCACAAGTGCATCAAATCAAAATAGTTATGAGCAAGCAAACACAGCAACAAATAAACAATGAGTTCAAACGGACCACAAAAATCAACCTACATTCCCAATTCAACAAAAAAGATCAAATCTTTATCACAGACATCAGTAAATAATGAAAATTTAAAGCAAAACCATAATCAAAAGACAAAAAAAAATCAATAAATAAAGAACACCCACGAAGGTAAAAACACGTAAAAGCCTAAAACAAGAGAGAGACACTAGTAAAAGAGAAGAGAAGACAAAAAACACATGGTTTTTCAAAAACCTCGTACCTGTCGAAACAGAATTCAAGAAAATTCATAAGGTGGACAATGTACAATTTTATTAAAAACAAAATCTTTGGGGCAATTGAGGAAAAAAAGTGAATATTCTTAGTACCTGTCTGATGATGATGAAAAATTGCTGCAAAGTTTTGAAGAAATTAGGGCAAAGTGAAAGAAGAGAGAAAGAGGGAGGGCTTGTGATGGGAAAGATTCAACTTTGTGGCTCTAAAATCGGATGTACTTAAGCAATTGGAGGAGGTGAACGTAATTAACCCTAATTCATTCAATGACAACTTTACCCCTAAAATTTGTCCTAAAATGTCAAAACTCCCCCATATTTTTGGAATTAGATTTGTCATTTTTTTTTTAAGGAAATAAAATAATTAATTACTTTTTATTATTATTTATATGGTCAAATTGTTGAAAAATTGTGTGAAAAATATCTGAGTTGAAATTACTTTATTTTTAGCTAGCGTTTGGCCCCAAGTTCTCAAATATTTTTGGCAAATAATATTTGGACCAAGTTTTTGGTCAAATTACACCATGTGTTTGGCCTCAAGTTTTTCCAAGAATGTTTGACTATTTCAAAAAATGTGATTTATACCCATAAGTTCTAAAAACTATTAAAAATATCCATAAATTTGTATTATCTATTTATAGTGAACATATTCTGTTAAAAAATAACTTTATAGCATAATTGATGATAATCATCAACAACAAAATAACAATATAGACAAGACAATACATTAATCGCATATTCAAACTTGTCATTGATTCGGTTATAATTCTAACCATTAAAAACAAATTGTTCTTTTTTTCAATTTTGTCATTCAAATTAGAATTTGAACTTTTCTGGAAGAGGTAGTAACAAATATTAGTTGAAATTAATAAATAATGGGTATTTTTTATAAAATATAAAAGTTTGGGGTAATTTTTAAAATTTCTAAATATTAGAACTTGACCCAAATACTAGTTTTTTTTCTAGTATTTGAGAACTTAGGATACTTGGCAAATATATTTGCCAAGTTATATAACCAAACACCACTCCCCAAGTTTTTCTAAATTTTTTTCAAATATTCTTAGGGTCAAACGGTCCTTCAATAGAAGTTTGGAGTTTGAGTCATCAAAATATGAAAAAATAGCTTATCACGTGATTAATTCATATATAAGTCGTATGTATCAATTTATTTTCTTTCATTATTTTTTTTCGTGTGATAAACTTCAACCGTTTTCTATAATTAAAAAGGTATTGTAAAGTAGATAGGTAAAATACAAAAGTTATAGTTAGGATTGACAAAATAGCTCATGAAAATCTGATTCATGAAATTAGTTTAAGTTGATTATCCATTTATTAATATTTCCCATTTTATTCTCCTCAAATTCAATTCATCTTAAGTTATAGATGATATATTTCCCCAAATTGACCAATGATTTCTTCTTCTTTTTTCCTTTTCTAAGCCTTCTTTTTTTTAGAAAACTCTGTCTATAAATCTATGTTTATAACTCTATGTTTACAATTATTTAATATAGGATTTAAATAGAAAATGAAGAATGTATACACCATCGCAATCCAAATATTACATTTTTTTAATTCATAGATACCAATAGAGAGAAGGGAGTGAATGAAGAAAGAGCAAAAGATTTATCTTGAATTTAGAAACGAGAAAAAGGTAAAAGAATATCTCTAACGTTTATAATTTATTTTATACTACATATAGAATGATCATGCATAGCACGGACCCAAAATGTATAATTTTGAAAGAACAATTACAACTTTTCTCTCATTATCATGAACAAATATGTACTTGTTATTTACAACCTATAACTCATGCCCAAGCTAAAAAAAAGAGTCAAAGAGACATGTTATTGATCTGTTGCGTGTTCAATTTCCTCTTACTAGATAATAATATGATAAAATTACAAGCTAATTCAGAATTGGTACCCCCTTGGTTGTTCTGAATTGTTTTCAACATAATTACTATTACAAACTAAAAGTATTAGTTCAATAATAGTCAGAGGTAGACAGAAGTGAACCCATGATTTGAACCGTGAGGGAGCATCAATATCTTTAACATAGATATATCAATTACAAGAGGCAAAGGGTCACTCATACTTCTTTGGTGAAAAAAATATTGTATTAATCTCCATACAACACTGTACAATTACAAAGAACTAAAAAAAATTAACATACCTATGTATTAGCCATATCTACACAAGGGAAAATATAGTAAATATAATTAAGTATTATATCTATATCCATCTTCTAGATTTAATATTCTTATGTTTTCTCTGAATAACCTATTTTTGATTGTATCATTTAGTATCATTTCTACGTATATATAATAGATGTTGAATCTCTTTCAATTTTCTTTGTGTGTATTTTGTTATGAATATAACTTAGCTGGAGGACCTATGTGAGAAGATGTCAAATTACATTTGGGACCCTAGGAAGATTCCTATATATATAAGAGGGAAATACTCAATTAGGGTTATGCTATGAACTTGTCTCTTATTTCTTAGTTTCTTAGGTTAATCTCGAACCTCCCACCATTCTTCCTTTTTATTTCTACTTCTTCCTTTGGAAGGATTGGTTACTAGTTTGAGAATGATGAACTCTTATAATTGTACGTGTAATTCCAATTATCCATTTGAATACAATATGAGTTCATTGCACAAAGGTTTTATAAGATCCCTGCTAAAGATCAAGCGCTTACCAATTACTATCATGTCAAAAGTTATAGCTAATAGCAGAGACGCAACATAGCTCATAGGCAGGAAATTGACATTACCCAACAATCCTTACCATATTAAGGCATCATTGTACAGAGAACATTTGAATTTCGATTTACAGAAAAAAAACTTCTATGTAGTGAAGATGAACCAGCAATGTTACTCATCACAGTTTCGAACATGGCCAAATAATGAAAGTTCCTGCTCTGCCTTCTTCTGTGCAGCCCTCTTCTGGTTTCTCTGGCAGCTGAATCACTTTGAACTGTTCAACTTGTTGTAGACGCGGACACTAAGGTCGTGAAATATCTCAAACAATCTCTTAAGGAAATGACAATGACAAGTGGTTAATGCAAGATCAAATGATCATACATACAAGTCGTTTGATTAACAGAAAAGTTATGTAGGAATTAGTTATACGTAGATTGAAAAATACAAGCAAAACCAAAACAAAGTGAGTGATTTCGATTAATCCAACACAAATTTGAATTGTTGAAGGGTTAAAGTGTACAACTCGAAAATCATCAAGGAAGGTAACGAACATTTCAGTGGATAGAATAAACTACCAAGTCAGCAAGAAACGGTCTTCACATCCGACAACAAGAAATGGCCACAACCATCCAATTTTTCAACTCCTTTTATATTAATTTCCATTTTTCACACCATTTCTTGTATGAAAAAAATAAAATTCCCAATCAATTCCAAAAAAAATAAAATAATCGTAGCTGAAAATCTAGCCGGAAATCATCATGCCAGTAACGGATAATCAAGGATCATTCCTCAATCGGATAAGTATCCGTCGGAATCAAGTTTCGAATATGGAAAACAATCATGAACAAGACCAAGAAGACCTCGAACTTTTTCAGAAACACGTAGCTGAACGTTTTGCTGATCTATTACCAAATGATTCGTCAACCACAACTGATTCCCCTGCGAAGGATCAATCACCACTTTTCTCGATTTCATGGTATCGTAAATTGCTCGATGTTTTCCTCTGTTGTGAGGCTGAATTTAAAGCACTTGTTCTAATCGGACGCGATCCTGTTCAGTTTTCGAAACCTCCATTGGATCGTCTTGTCCCTGATATTCTAGATCGTTCGATTAAATCTCTTGATATTTGTAATGCAGTGACGCACGGGTTAGAACTTGTGCGTCACTGGCAAAAGTTAGCTCTAACAGCCGTTATGGCGTTAGAGCAAAATCCAATGGGAGATGGACAAGTAAGGCGAGCGAAAAAGGCGTTGAACACGTTGCTTACGTCGATGATGCTGGATGATAAAGAGAATAATTATCACGCTAAAGTCGCCGAACGAACGTGGTCGTTCGGACGACGTAGTGGCGGAGCTGGAAATAATGCTAATAATAAAGATAGAACTAATGGTACTTTTCGTTCAATGTCGTGGCCTGTTGCGAAGTCGTGGTCGGCTTCGAAACAGGTTCAGGCTATGGCGTCCACTCTGGTGGCGCCACGTGGAGGTGAGTCCACTGGACTCGCCCTGCCAATTTACATCATGAGCACGATTTTCGTGTTTGTGATGTGGGGATTGGTGTCAGCAATTCCGTGTCAGGAACGTACGGGACTGCTGACACATTTCCCAATGATGAGGAATTTGAATTGGGGACAGTCATTAATTTCACTGCAGGATAAAATTGCTGAGGAATGGAAGAAAAAGGAGAAAAAAGGGACAACTGGTGTGTTGGATGAGCTGCAGAAAATGGAGAAAGTTGCACAGAACTTGGTTGATTTTGCAGAGAATTTTCAGTTTCCGGCGGAGGAGGAGAAGGTGGAGGAAGTGGCTGCACAGGTGGCAGAGATGGCGGAGATATGCCTGAAAATGGAGGAGGGATTAGCGCCATTGCAACAACAAATTAGAGAAGTGTTTCATAGGATTGTGAGGAGCAGAGGTGAAGTTCTTGAGGTTCTTGATCAAATTGGTAAAATGTCAACACCAGTACTTTATTGATTTTAACAAAAGATTTCAATTTTTTTTTTACTATTTCCAATATTAAGGATTAGTTTATCTTGGTTTTTAAAATTTCTGTTCACAAAAAAGCTGACTAGTTTTTGTAATAATTAACTACTATAATTCAAGTTTTTGTTAGTTTCATTATGTAAAAGAGAAATGAATTGTAGATTGATTGGTTTTGCAATGCATGTATCTCTACACATTGAAATTTTGTTGGACACGTGTTCAATTCTAGTTAGGACTTTATAAGATGTGTTCAATTTCAATTAGGATTCTTGGAAGCTAAATCCTAAACCCTAGTTCATGCCTATATAAATGGTACTATATTCCCTTGAAAAGTCATCTCGAATATTCCACAAAGGTCATGGAATATTCATATATAGGTCAAATCTAAATCATTCTAGTTCGAGAAATACACCACTAACAGCCCTTAGGAGAGTAGAATTAAGGGAGGAACATTATTATCAATAAAATATTCATATTTCTTCAGATTTTATTTGTGTGATTGTAACTTATTTTCCGTCACTTTAAAACTTGTTGCAAACAGTATAGATTGAGTTTCTATAGTACAAGTATTTCTTTGTCTCAAAGATTGTGTGGTGATTGAGATTTTCCAATTGGTTTTAATTATTCTGTATTCTAAGTTCAATGACTTGATTAATTTGAATCGTATCCATCGAGTAGACATTTTAAGGATCAAAAGACTCTATGCTCAAAAGTTCTCCATTCTCACTACTAGTGTTCGAGCCCTATGACTTATAAGTAAGGGTGGAGAGATTTCAATCATGTTACTTCATTCTTTGATGGTAAGACTCTGACTAGCATATCAACCTAAAGACATTCACAACCAACCTAAAAACATTTTGTTTTAACAAATTTTAAATGAACTTAAATTTAACGGAATGTACGCAAAGAATTCAAATAACTAATCCCAACTAATTGAGATTTGAATTCTGTTGTAGACTTTTTGCAGATCTACTCAAAAATGATTCCTCTAGTCGTACTTATTTTCAACATTTCGTGAAGTGAAATAGCCACTATATATGCCGCCTCATCACTCAAAGCGAATATATAATCGAGTGTTTATATAATGTATATTTTGACCATATTTGATAAACTAGATAGAAAGTTACACCTAAGTAAGTTTCCTTTTGTTAATATGATCATTCAGCACGAAACTTCAATTTACGCGAGTATGTCCTATACCACTTTGTTTGCCAAAAGTTTTTTACTTCTCTTCATGAACATGTTGAGATGTATGTGTCGGTATATTAAGAGCGATAAGATAAAGAATGATGATATTCAAGACAAAGTAAGAGTGACCACGGTGGTGGACAAGATGACGGAAGAGAGACTATGATAGTTTGAGCATGTGACGATGAGATGTGTGGACACCCCATGAGAAGGTGCGAGAGGTTGAATATAGTGGGTCACAAAGAGCATATATATGTACGCAGAAGAAACATTGAGAAAACATGATTTAGATTGGATATGACACATCTTCAACTTATCAAGGACATGACCTTAGATATGAGGATATATTCGAGATCACATACAAGATTAGAAGGTTAAATAAGTAGTTAATAGTTGTTTATTACTAGCCTATTCATGTATTTGGCTTGGTGGTAATATAGAGGCTAGAGCACCATATCTTTTGTAGTATAAGCCTATTCATGTAGTCTTCCACTTTTGGTATCTAATATCACCTTCTAATATATTTAGGTGATCGTACCTTCTTCTTCTTGTTATGGTTCCTTGCATATACGCTCCACACTACTTGCTATTAGTTGTCATGTTTCTTTTCACTACTATTCTTCTTTTAATTACGATTTAGATTTGCATAAGCCATGAGTTTTTCGGAAATAACCTCTCTACCTCGGAGAGGTAGTGATACACTCTACCCTCCCCAAACGTCATTGTGTAAGATTTCACTGGATATATTATTATTATATTTCTATTATGATTTTATAAGAAATTTGAAATGAATATAGCTTAGACTCATTGCAAATAATTTTAATAGATTTTCTACAAAATTTGAAGTCATTTGGTTGGTAGAGATTAGACTAATTTTAAAATAAAAATTCCAAAAATAGCAAAAGTAGTTATCCATATAATTAATTAACGAGATGTTACACATTTTTTTCTATTGTCAATTTTAGTGTACAAACGAAAATTTTCATTTTCGAGTAAAACATGTAAAAATAACCAAAAATAAACATTTTGTCTTCATACAAATTTGTATGCCAGTTCTTGCATCTGCGTTTTCCATCTTCAACACTGACGCAAAATTTGCAGAAAGATAATAAAAACCCAGTAAACGTCTCTTGTCTGCTTCCTACAGGCTACGAGCCATCATCCCGACGTTTCGGCCATCTGTAGAGCCACAACAAACAAACAGCAATAGAGGCATCCAATTGGGCACCAATAATTAATCAACAGTAGTAGTAGAGTAGTACTTGTCAATTTTATATTATTAATTTCAGATCACCTTTTTTATGTCTTCAGGTTCTTAACAACTTTATCTCTTTCCTCATCTCCTCAATATCTTCAATTTTCTCTCTAAATCCTAATTTCTGAGCTTTCTCGTTTGATTTATTATAGTTGTTGTTCGGAGATTAATGGCGACTATGCCTAATACGATGTCGTTTAAGCAAGGTCTTTCACTCTGGTGTCCTCAATCAGCTGCCTTGAATCGGATTCCAAGGGTTTCGGTTCCTTCTAGAAGCTTCAGGAGAAGTTTCGTTGCTGCTGCTTCGTTTGATAATGAGAACCGAGAGTGAGTTTTTTTCACTTTTGATTTTGATGTATTTATGTTTGATGCGTGTGTAATTTGGCGAATTTGAAATGTGGATGATTTTAGGTATGTGGTAGTTGGAGGAGGAAATGCAGCTGGATATGCGGCTAGAACTTTTGTTGAGCAAGGACAAGCTAATGGAAAGTTATGCATTGTGACCAAAGAGGTAGCTAAACAACTTGAGTAGAATAATCACTATCGACCTCTGATTAATTGTATAGCAAAATATTGACAGAAATTTAGGCGTGAGTTGTTTTTGTGTTTTTAGTACATTTATATGTTGTTGATGAGATTTGTATTTTAGTGTAGAGATAAGTGTGAAATTTAGAGAATCTATAGTGTAAGAGAACTCTTTAGTTGTCTTACAGGACAAATTATTGAGTACTAGAGTGAAACAGGCCCAAGGACTGGAGTAGACATAGAGGATTTATGTAGTTGAACTTAACTAGTTTGGGATGAGAGTGTTGTAGTTGTTTTTGATATTTTGTCGAGTATTATTTGAAATGTTGAGTGGAACTCTTTTAGGTAGTTCTGTCCTTTAAGCTGTTCGAATTGTGGAAGCTGTATAAGAAACTAATTGAATGGATGCTTGAAACGCTAGGTTTAGGGTCTGTTATTTTGCTTGAGTTGTTTTCATTTGAAATATAAAGTTCCATTTTGTGCTAATGCAGCCATATGCACCATACGAACGTCCAGCATTGACCAAAGCATATTTGTTTCCTCTGGACAAAAAGCCAGCACGTTTACCGGTGAGCTTTAATTGATCATTTAAGTATTGAAAATGTCTACATCTTCTTGTGTGATATTTGCAAATTTTATAGCTCTCAATTATTGTTAATGCCAATTCAGCATGTTTTTGAGGAATACCATTTAACTGTATAATTTTAGGGCTTTCATACTTGTGTTGGTGCTGGTGGTGAGAGACAAACGCCTGATTGGTACAAGGAACAAGGGATAGAGGTAATGCATTTTTGTCTAATCAATTGCATTGCAACTTGTACAAGTGTGATGTAATTGTGATGTTCTTTGGTTTACTGAAAGGAAAGCAAGGTAAATCTATTGAAGATTTGAGAATATATTTACCAGTTAGGAATTCCAGGACAGTTTGAGAGGAAACGCGATCTCATTTTGTTCTTACTTTCATTTCTTTATTCAGCTCCAGCATTCTGACTATCAAGTAAGTCTATTTGAAGATAAATGTTTACCTTTTTTTTCAGATGTTGTATGAAGATCCAGTAACAGGAGTTGATATAGAAAAGCAAACTCTGACAACAAATTCAGGAAAGCTGCTCAAGTATGGCACCCTTATTATTGCAACCGGATGTACGGCATCCAGGTAACCATGCTTGCTATACTAGAGTGCTCTCTGATCCAAACCTGTTATTTATTTTGCAATAGGAATTCTTATTGATAGATGAAAAGATTAGAATTTGCACTCATCCACTTGCGCCTTGGTCCAATAAAAAAGATGGACCAGAAAAAGTTTTTTTCTCCTTTAATAAACCTCATATATTCCATTTACTGTATTAATTTATTGCTCTAATTTGCATATGCTGATATGCCCTCCAATCCTGATTAAAGTACCAAACACAGAATAATTTAGTATTAATTGACATCAGATTTCCTGAGAAGATCGGAGGAAATTTACCTGGGGTTCACTATATTCGGGATGTGGCGGATGCTGATTCATTAATATCCTCACTGGTAAGATCACCCTCATTTCGATGCTTATAATCGGTTTCCTAAAATTTAAAGATACATCACATAACTTTTGCATATGGATGATCTTCTGTGGTGATATGCATGATATTATTTCTAATCTATGTTGTTTTATTTTAGGGGAAAGCAAAAAAGCTTGTAGTTGTTGGTGGTGGCTATATAGGAATGGAAGTTGCTGCAGCTGCTGTAGCCTGGAAACTTGATACAACTGTGAGTTTCCTTAAATGCTTTCCGTCACTTTGCTAAATAAGAAATGCTGTTTGCGAGAAAAAATAAATAAGAAATGTGAATCCACAAACCATGTTTAGCTATTTCGTTTATAAAAACAAAATTGCACATTTGGTGGGAAAATTTCCATATAAGCAAAACCCGTTGATGATAACATGACGAATAATAACATGTAAAGTTCCAAAATATATGTTTTCTGCTACTAGTTAAAAGAAGTCCATGTTCCTTTCTCGGTCTGATGAGTCCTCTGTTCAAAGAGTTAACTGAAGCATATTAATCAGTTTATTACCTTACAAATGAAGTATTCAATTTTTCTTATTCCTCTGAGGTTTGAAACTTGCCTGCATTTGAATATCGTACCAGTATACTCTACTCCTGATTTTACTAACTGTGTTGAGAACATAGATAATTTTCCCAGAAGAGCATCTCTTATCAAGACTGTTCACTCCTTCTCTTGCCCAAAAGTATGAACAACTCTACCAAGACAATGGTGTCAAATTCGTCAAGGTTCTCCATCCTCTTTCCACTCTAGTTCTGGTGTCAGTATGCCTCCTTTATCAACCTAGTTTATAAGCTTCTAATTGAATTTTATCCTTTCCCAGGGTGCTAAGATAAAACATCTAGAATCTGGTCCAGATGGCCGGGTAACTGCAGTTAAGCTTGAAGATGGATCAAGTATAGAGACAGACACGGTAAAACAGCGATTTTCATGTTCTTTGAAATTCTTATTATAACCGAGGATTGGAATATCTCATACAATTGTGTGGATAAAGAAGTTGAAAGCTCAAGTCATTTGCATATCCTTTATGAATTTGCAGGTTGTTATTGGTATTGGAGCAAAACCTGCTGTCAGTCCATTTGACATGGTTGGCTTAAACAAAACTGTTGGTGGAATAGAGGTTAGCACTCTATTTATCTCTATGCTAGGATTTATCTAGTTACAATTTACGGCTAAACCACTCTCCTAATTGCAAAATGGTTATGATCTTCCACCAATTCATGATACCCTACAAGTTGGAAAGGTGAATCAAAAATATCTTTTACCTTAAAGTTAAATATCGATTTAATCAGTTCTGGACAGGATGTCACTCTAGATGGTTGATTCTATTAAGATTCAGATTTATGTCCTTACATGTATTTCCTTTTATCTGTTTAGCATGGTTCCATGAAGTACATTAATTGTATGGTCTACAAGAAGTCTTCACTATATCTGAAAGAAGGCATAGTCTAATACATTCAAAGGTGGGCAGAGAGTTTTGTTCCTGTTCCACGAGTTGAAAATATTCATGTTCAGAGCAAATTTCTCTAACTCATACTTAAACTATTGTTTTGTTGCAAATACATGCATGTAAATCCTTTGAATTTGTTTGTTTCCTCTGCTTATTCAAGTAAAGGAAAAAAAAAGAGGGAAAAGAAATTTCCGTTTTCTTCAATTTTCCAATTGAAGAGTGAGAAGGTTATAAATATAGGTATATTACTCCTGATCAATATAGCTCTTTTGGTGTTTGACAATGATGGACTGTAGTAATACCAGTGAGGAAGTTGGTTCCAGTAATAAAAGAGGATGTTTTAATTATGCCAAATGATATTTACTCTTCTGTAACTTCAATCCTTTTAGTGTTGTTATCTCTGGGCATAACTGAGAAATCTGATGGTGCTTCTTTCTATTAACATACCTTCAGAAGGTGAGAGCTTGATCTTTCCTAGAAATGATTACACCTCAATATTTAAAATTCAGGTTGACGGCCAGTTCCGAACAAGCATACCTGGAATCTTTGCCATTGGAGATGTTGCTGCATTTCCATTGAAGGTTAGATCTTCTGACTAACTTCATACATTTTTTATTTTATTTTTGTTTAATGAACGAACTATGCTAACCGTGCAGATATACAACCGAATTGCACGGGTGGAGCATGTTGACCATGCTCGTAAATCTGCGCAGCATTGTATTAAATCATTGCTAACTGCACACACGCACACGTAAGTTAATTTAAGTTCTGTTCATAAGCAACAATAAACTTCTTTTCATTCAATCTTCCTAAATCTTGTATTGTTTCCTGAATGCAGGTATGACTATTTACCATACTTCTACTCAAGGGTTTTTGAATATGAAGGAAGCTCTAGGAAAGTGTGGTGGCAATTCTTTGGTGACAATGGTAAGAATATTTTTGTTTTGCTTTTCTTGATAATGTCCAACTACTTGTGTAAACAATTCCATAGCTGGTATTGATGGTACCATCTTATGAACAGTTGGGGAGGCTGTTGAAGTTGGGAATTTTGATCCAAAGGTTGCAACATTTTGGATCGACTCTGGTATGCACTCTATTGTTTCTTTTTGTGTGTATCTGGTTGTGTAGGTTATGTTTCTTCCCCATTCCTTTCTTTTTAGGGAGCTATACTTCAAAAAGATAATACTAATAAATACAAGGCAAAAGAAGAGTGATATAAACATACATCTTTTCAGGAAAGCTGAAGGGGGTTCTTCTTGAAAGTGGGAGTCCTGAGGTATGCACTCTTCCAAGGATGTTCTCATGTCAAATTTAGTAGCTATATGTAATGGTCTATGTACATAAATATGCAAGCTGCAGAAATGTCTACAATGAGTCGTCAAATGTTTTCCTTGCCCCTCTCTCTTGACCTTTGAAACCATCCCTCCAAAAACCTAACGTAGAAAAGGTGAGTTGTCAAGGAAGAGTCTGTTCATTCATATCCAGGAAAGTGATTATTATTTATATAATATACTATAAAGTATGAGATATATGAAAAATTTTATAGTCGTCCAAAGTGAACTCGTCTATGTGTATCATATGCATGGTTCTGTGTGACACTGTGAAAGAGCCACGGTTAACTAGCATAGCCATATTTCTTACTTCCATCTACAAGAGTTTGTCTCTGCTTTTAGCTTAGGATGCATTTGGATTCTGTGAGCAATTTTTCTCCTTAATATGATGCTACTTAAATCATATAACAGGACTTGTCACTTATCTTTTCTTGTATATGGAATTTGGGGGTACACATATAGTCGTACCCAATGTCAATACTTCATCTCGGGAAGTAGTCATGCATGTGCTCACATATTGTTGAAGGAAGCTCAGAGAAAATAGGGAAGTTCAATGGTAGAGTTGATAGTTTCACCTGCCAGGAGTTCTGGAAAAACAAAATAGTTTCTGTTACTCCATAGACAAGTATATATGCTTGTTTCTATCTGTCATGTTGATGGCTTTGAACCTATGTTAAGCTCCAGCAATATATAAAATCATACTATAATAACATAAAGGCCCCATCCCCAGTCCCACCATATGGACATCACAGCATTGTTTGAAGCACTTGCCTCTCCACCATAGTCCATTTCGCCTCCCTCCATCCTTTCTGAAACAGCATTGCAAGCATGAAAAGTGCATCAAGCAACCTTGTGTTTCCTAGAAGTTAACTGGTCTTCTTGAACTTTTGCGCAAAGAACAATATGCTGTAAATATTCTCCCCATTTAGACCGTCTGTATTGTTAGTCTCTGCTTTTCTTTCTGGGAGAGAAATGAATGTAAGTTTGTCCCTTACCTAGAAAGGCAAGATTTTGCTTAATTTCTCTCCTATTACTGTCTTACCCAATCATCTCATCATTCAGTGAAAACAGGATTGTCTTTGTCTTATGGTATCTTAATGATCTTTTCTCGAATTGTTTCAGGAATTCCAACTGCTTCCAAAACTTGCACGGAGCCAGCCCTCTATTGACAAAGCCAAACTTCAAAATGCATCATCCGTTGAAGAGGCTCTAGAAATTGCTCAAGCTTCCTTGAAGACTGAAGCTGCAGTTTGATCACCAGTTCACCACCCATCAAGAACATCCTCTCGCACAGTACACCTATTTTCCAGATTGAGGTATCGACATACCCATTTGGCAATTTCGGCAGCTTGTAAGATTGAAAGAGAAAGAAAGAGGACAACGTATTAGATTGATAATATATCGTAGAAAAATTGATGAGAGCGAGCGGGGTGTGGGCACTTGTTTATGTTAGGATATTAGATTTGTAATAAGAATGTCACTTGAAAATGGATTTCTAACATGAATCCAAATGATTATAGTGTCTCAATGGTTCCAATGAATTAAGTACAGTTCTCTCTTTTTCACATTAATTCCAAGTGCATCTGAAAGGTTACATGTTTAGACATTCAATTTCTTTGCTTGAGATACTGAAGTTTATGTACATATGTGATATGACTATAGTTCTGTCATCTTTGTTTGATCCATATATGCATGGACTTCAAATAGAGATAGCTAAAGTCGGATAAAAATGACTACGGTTGAACTTCAGTCATATGTAACTTCAACCACTGTGTCTAAAGTTTGATTTAGTCAAAAGACACCGTATATCTAAACATATTTTCAAGTGAAATTTTTACCAAAATCCATATTATCCAAAAGTTCCACTATGGGCCAATCGTGTATGCTCCACTTATTTATACGATCCAATCGTAATTCTGAGACCACCTTTTGGAGATTGAAATTTAATATTTATATTCGTTAATTCCTATTTACCTTTTAGACTAGAACACTATATCCATATATTTGATTGACTTGGTAAAACAAAAAAAAGTGTTTACCCAACTACTAAGTCAACCAAATATCTCTTCAGTTTTTTTCCCTATAGAAATTTACTAGTAGTATTTTAATTCTATGCCTCATGTACATTCTTATTTTATTTCCTGTTGACTTAAAAGATTGATATACAACTATCAAAAATACTCTAAACTATATAATCTGTCTGGAAACTTATACCAATTCAAAGCAACATTAAAATTTTATGGAAGATGAAGAGACCAGTAAAAATTTGCTTGACTTCTGCTTTTTTCGGTTCATTTTACTTATCATGTTTAGCTTTTATACGCTCATTAAAAACATGAATTAAAAAGAAAAATTGGATTAATTTGATCCATGGATGAATTTGGACGTACAAATAGAGGAAATGTAATACGATGGAAAAGAAAAGCTATCAGTAAGGATTGATAAATTTGGTAAAACAAGTTATAGCATATAATTTCTTGATTTTTAAATACCCTTTGTTGAAAACTTAGATTATGTATATAGAAAATAATATGAAATATATAGATCAAAAAATTGTTTTTCGTATTTATATATAAAATCTTAAACATTCTTAATTAAATTTCTGACTTTTGCCGCTGGATAGGTAGGTGGGTGGGTGATATTGGTTTAACGTTCTTTGGAAAGACTAATTATGTAGAATTTGTACTTAAATGATGTAATTCTTCTTTGGATTAGACTTTATGGGAGCACCAATCAATAGTGCTCTGCACTAAAAGGATAATGTTAAATGGCCAGAAAATTAAAAAGTCTATAATATCCTTTTTATTTTAAAATAAACGATCTTTTTTCCATTTTTTCAATTAAAATGTATTAAAGTTAAAAGGGTAAAAATATTCAAAAAGACAAAACAAAATAGTGTGAAATATGTTAATTTACCATTATGACAAAATTTTCTGGCCAAAAGGATTTTTCCCTAAATTTAATTGATGAAGAAAAGGTCTAATCGTGATTAACAAGCAAGCACTCTTAATATTAATTAATCTAATAATTCACTTTCCTATAGTGGCGCCACGTCAACACACATTAGGTGGCAATAATCACAAAATTAGTTGATAATTAGTTGTTATTAATTAGCTAGATTGGTTTAACGCCATTCCATATGTAACCAAAACTTTACTCAGTTACTGATCCTTGTAGGTTAACAATTTATTAGATACAAATCAAAAAGGTCATATTATATATACATGATAAATTACTTTTTTTTTCTGCAAAACATCGATTTCTATCCATTGAATAAATTCTTTTCTTTTTTACTTAAGAAAATTAGTTTGGGTAGGGAATTACAATATTACGAGAAGGGGAATTGAATCCTCACCAACAACGTGAAAGTTTAAGAAATCATTAACTAGGCTACTAAGATTTCTTCATTGAATAAATCCATTTAATTTAATATGACTATTTTTTTCCTGAAATAATTGTATTTATGTTTTTCAAGATGGAAATAAGTAAAAATAAATCTTTGTTGATATATATTATACCTTTTTAAAAATAAAATTAATTTGTTAATTAGTGTCTGAGATTCTGAAATAAAGGCAAGATGCAATCAAAGAGGGGGTCCAATATTAGTTGGAAATTTGTTTAGAAAAATGGTAATTAAAGGATGATATCAAGTAGTTGAAAATGTCCCCAAAAGTGTATAAATAAACAAAATCAAAGATCACTTGACATCATAAGAAAGTGATAAAAATTATTATCCTTTTTATGTCTCACAGTTTAGGTCACCTTATGTTTAAATTTATTTTATTAATATATTTTAGTTAGCAAAAGATTCGTCTCATGTTACTCCTACGTACGTGGGAGTTCCATTTACCTTTTTTCCCCATGAATCTAAGTGAACTTAATAATTCGTGATGATGAGATTCGATCAATCAATTTTATTTAATAGATCACACATTTTTATTTACTTAATTATTTCATTAAATATGAAAGTCCTTGGATTAGAGATCAAGAAAAGCAACAAAAATATCTTTATCATTACTGTCACCAAAGTTAATTTGTCAAACATACTGGGTGGAGCTAGAAGTCTTGATACAAGTTCACCGAAATTAATAATTTTTGTTTAAATATTGTATTTATATTTAAAAATAATTATTAAATATGTATTAATATTAAATTTAGAATCTGATTATAAACAATAGGCATTTTAGAATTCGAAATTCATAAAATTGAAATTCTGACTCTGCCTCCTTCGCATATTCAAGATTTAGGAAGAAAAAACGTATATAATCTTTTATAATGATAGAACATGGATCTGACATACGTGCATGTGAGTATTTGCAGTTAGCAATGATTTAATACAAAGATGTGCATGATTTAATCTCTACCCGATAATATTAATTTGAAGAAAATATTAAAATGGAATAAAGTTAGAGATAACAAATCTAACCTTAACTTCAATGCAAATTAATGCTGCTGCACAGTCATATATATAATCGAGGAATGATAAGTACTTCTTCACAGTCTTTAATCAGAATTTCAGAAGTTTTGAATTCAAGTTGTGAACATAAAGTTATTTTTGTTAGGAAAAAATTTATCTCAATATGAGATTTCCCAACACAAATTCTAATTTAATTAAACGAATAAGAATATCAGACACGAAATGAAAGTCTTAAAAAATGTAAGCATGCAATGGCAAAAATTCCAGCTAATGCTTGTCCCTAGTCTTGTATACTTATTAAATATGAAGTATAAATAATTATTTCTAGAACATGAATCTTTGTTAACAAAAAGGAAGCATCCTCAGTTCCTCACCACTTCAAATTTCTAATTTTTTTCCAGAAAAAAAAAGGAAGTTCATTTTAAAATACATAAAAAAAGAAACGCACGTACGTATGATTTTCCTATTTTTGTCTTTTAGATCTATAAAATGAACACATCATCTGACATGATTGTGATTTAACATACAACCTAGCTAATTATTAAATGTTGGAACCAAACAGCTAAGCAATTTTTTTTTATTTTCCACCCGGAGTCCATATTGGAGCTTCGACTAAATTCGGATCGCACTCTGAGGGGCCATTTAGGGGCGTGGCGCTCCCAACAAGATTTTTTCCATACCAGAACTCAAATCTGAGACTTTTAATTAAGGGTGAAGCAGTTCCACCACTGCACCGCAACCTAGGTTGGTAACAGCTGAGCATTTATATTATCCATTCATTTGACATATACAATATATATTATATAATTCTTATATTCGCCGACAATTTCATGCATAATACTATATTTTATTAAGTACTATAAATTGTACGATTTGAAGAAGTTCTAGTTTAAGAAAATGGTACTACAAAAATAATGTTTACAATTTGAACAAAAATAAGAGGCATTACGAAGATCTTATACTATTATACAGGGATTTTTATCCATAAGAACCCTCATGAATAATAATGAAATTATCATTTACTCATGAATAATAATTTACACTTTTAAATTATACGACGATCCTAAAAAAATGCAGTAAACAACTTATTATAACCACTTAAAAAACATACTGATGGTGTAAACATGTGGTGTACACATGTTAAATCGATCTTAGAGCATTTTGAAGACTTTGAAATATCTTAAGAGAATATTACATAACTAGTGCGATCGCTATTAAAATATACTAAGCATATAAAATTATTTGAAGATTATAAATATCTTAATAGAGGAAATAATATCTAATGAGGAGCTAATATATCTTTAAGACGTAAATGACGATAAAATTATCAAAAACTCGTCTGAATTAATGTTTCTCAAAGAGTGTAAAAGAGAAACATGACAGATAATTTGAGAGAAGGAGAGAGCAAGGGTGGAGTTAGTGAGAGCCCCAAGGGTCATTCGAACTTACTTCGGCTGAAAATTACACCTGAACATAAACAGTTAAAATTATTTATCATATATGTATATATAGTAGATGTTGAATCCTCTTCAACTTCTTCGTATGTTTACTTCTTTACATTTTAAAACCCTTTAGTGAAAATTTTGACTCCACCACTAAGAAGTACAGTATTAAGTCATCTAAACTTGCATTTAATTTCTTTTTTTCATATGAGTTGTATTTGGTGGGAAGATTAGAGAATAGAGGGGGCCTTTGTACAGTTCATAACTAGTGCGCTATTAGCTACACACACGTACTAATAAATCACCTACCATATCTCAAGATTGTATAATATTCAAAATAAATATAGTAGTATATTATTTAATTTTATTTTTGTAATTGTGGGGTTGGGAATTGCGCGTGCGTGCTGATGATCTTTAATTTAATGCAATTTTTTAGCAACCATGACAATATTGTAGCACTTAGAATTATTACAGCTATAAATAAGCCTTCACTTCCACTTCAATTTTCATTCAACAAATTACAAATAATAACATTCAAAGTCTCTAAAGAGCTTTTTTTTTTTTTACCCATATCATTTTTTTGAGAATCTTTGATTCTTTCTTTTTTCAAAATTAAGATGGTGTCTATTTCAAACAACAATAACCAAAAGCAACAACTTCTTTCAAAGATAGCCACAAATGATGGTCATGGAGAAAACTCACCTTATTTTGA